AAATAAAGGCTACCCATATAGATCGATATCTGAACAGACACTCCAACTATCATCTGCGACATTAAGACGAGGTATTAAATATCTGGTATAGCAAGACGTATCTGCCGAATGGCTACAAAATTAAATGTGTCATCTGAAAAATGCGTTTCTGGGTAGCGGTTAAAGCGAAACCAAAATCAACCGAGCCTTACAACCCAATAAGAAACATCCCATGGTGGTACCGGAACGGACGTTCAACGAAAAAACTTTTTCAACTTTTATAAACGATACCGGAAATAGCAAATAACCTCATAGACATCGTGAAAACCTATACGTACCTTGATCTTCCTTCTTGTATTTAAATCCTGCATTTTTGTGTAGTTTGTATAGACTTGTCTACTTAATTCTGCTATTTCTTTTCGTTTCACTGCACGAAGAATGGTGCCAAAGTCCCGTGTTGTTTAGAGTATATTTCAAATATTTTTCATTTTTCAACCTAGACTCACCCTGCTGGTAAATTTGCAGTAACAACCTGAGGTGCCTACCATTGTTCTTCCCTTCCGTAAAATAGTCGACAATACTTGAACCAGTTTCATCGAAACTTAATTAAACGCTGCTCTGATATACGGAATTATTCAGCGTCTTTTAGAACTTTTCCTCGAACTTCCTACGTGGCAATACGAATCGAATGACACCTTGATCGTAATTTACGGAGACTATATAAAAAAATTTCATATTTTCAAGAAAAAATAGTACTTGTGAACTAGACTAGTACTGGTACATTCCTTATAGAACATTTTTGTCAGGAAGTGGATGCGTAACATTTTGACCAATGGGATAAATTGGCCTGAGTTTGTTTACAAATTCTTGAAAAGAATGATTATGGAATAAACGGTGTTGAATAAAGTCAAACGAGATATTTCAAGGGTCCCGTTTATATTTGAAAAGAGTTTAATGCGACCTCTTGGCTGGAAAGTTGTCACACAAAAGTTAAGAGGGAGGGAAGCTTTTTACGTCCGCTCTGTATTTACCAACCGTAGGGCGAAATCCTTATTACTCGTACCTAGTTCTCCAAAGAAGTCGATCTTCCGTAAAAATACTCGACATGCCGTCACCGTCACATATACCTGGGGCGTCCCTTTGTAGAGAATACTAATGGGGTAGAACCATCACAGGAATGCGAAATTTGCAATACTCAGCATAGCGTTTCATAGTATGGTTCGAGACTTGGTCGAAAACAGTTACGTGACGATAATCGAAGGAAGTCGGACTCGAATGTCCAGTTAGAAATAAATTGTTTTGACATTCGTTTCAAGTGTTAGTTTTTCACACGGATGCGTTGTGTTGGTGTATTTAATGCATCTGGAGGTGCATAGGAAAGTATCAAATGACATACAATGGGCCGTTTAGTTAACAGTAAGAAAATTAAATAGAAGTAATGGATAGTAATGTATCACATACAGTGCGAGACACTAACATAGAATAATTTTTTGTTAATGCTCGAACAAGTCGATTATTATATTAAGTCGTTTTTTCTTCATCATTCAGTATGTCCCAAACTTTGGATAGGAAGTTATCAATTATTTTTTCAGTTTAGTGTAATCATCGTTTAGTGTAAACCATATTTCATTCACATTGATAATATTTCTTCAGTCTATGCTAAAACTGTTGTTCATGGACAATAGAATATCCCTAACGGTACATGAACTCACTTTGAACCTATTTTAGCCTATAAGTATGAAATTTGTGCACTTTTAGAATCACTACAACTGAAGATTGCACATTTTATATTCAGTAGCTATTTGTGTGGCAGGCCTGGTTAGACTTTTTCAAGAACAAATAGTGCATTAAGCTTTAGATTAAAGTTGACCTCTTCACTAAGCGCAGTTTGTGGATGAGGATCTGTTTTCTTTAGCGCCGAGCAAGGCTCGTCTGTGCGCACTGTCTTGTAATTGAGTGGTCGCTTCTGTCTGCACTGTACCATTTGTTTATATAGGAAAGACGCGGAAGAGACACTGGAAAATCCACACCTCGTCCCTTCCCGACGTCAATTTTGTATAAATCGGCACTTATCATGTTCCTTTTCCAGAACTGCTACTTCATCTTTCAGTAGTGATCATTTTAGAAAGGCAGTTGGGCTGAGAAGACGTGGCGCGGTCGTTTGTCTATCACGCGCCTTTCCTATGTAAACAACGTGGAAGCTACATGGCGCTACGTCGTTTGTATGTGCCACAAACCATTTGTTTCAGATTTTGAATACACTGACCCATTATTTGGCTAAAATCAATAACAGTAATCATGAACAGTTTTCAGCAGTTTTCGATATACAGTAATCAAATCGAGCTTTCATCAGAAAGTTTAGATGGAGTGTGGTTATAATGTAGTTATCAAAATGTTTTATATAAAATTTTTAGATACCCAAACATTGGATTTTTTGAAATATTCTCCAATATACAGGTTATAGAGTAGCAGTGGGGCTTATAAAAGCTAGCTTTTTAATGGAATGTGATATATTGCTTTTAGTAATTGGATTCCATCAGGAAAGTATTTTTTTCAAATAAAGAATAGTCAAAAATTTGATTATGTCTACCGTCCAGATTTTCGATGAAAACTCATTTGTTTCGGAATTGAGTTTTTTGTTTTTGAATAATATTTTGATCGCAATCTTCTGATATTTGGTGAATAGAAACTAGAAAATGATCATATCTTGATTTTTTCAAATGGAATAGTCAATATTTCATTCAATACAAAGATACGACGTCCTCGACGACTCCTCGATACGACGACTCCTCCCGACGTCCGTTCTTTGTGAGCCGGCTCTTATCATGTCCCCTTTTCCCGGAACTGCTTCTGCTATTACTGCCAATTAAACAGAAAGGACGTCGGGCGAAGACAAGACGCTTACGCGTCTTTATACAGTGCATTTCTTTAATGTCCCCCCTCTTATATTTTTTGAACGGGTCAACTCAAAAAATTGAAATTTGGGATAATGAAATTAATGCATGAATACTTTATTTTGAAGTAAAATTAACAGATGAAACTTTCAAGATGGCGACTGGGAGCCATCTGGGAAAAAAATTATTGAAAAGGGGGGTCTTGTGACATAATTTTGAAGCTCCTGACGAATACTTCACAATCCTAGAATATGAAGTCAATATCTTCACCTATTACAAAATGGTGGAACATTTAATAATTTACTGAAGACATATGGCATATGCCATATGGCAATTCTCACAAGGTTTGTTGAGTTATTTTTTGTTTATAAAAAATTGCAGTGACACCAACCCTTACGTTTTCTGGGGGGACATTAAAGAAATGCACTGAATGTTAACAACTACATGGCGGCACATCGCGTCTATCTGCATTAGACCATTTTTACATAGAAAAGACGCGGAAAAGACAAACAATCTAAGTTCGTACTGTGTGAATATGGGATATTTCTCTGTCAATAAATGAAGAACTTCATTTCGCAATCTCATCATATCTCAGTATCCAATCATTATTGTTTCCATTTTGTCTTTCAGCTAAACGAGGCATTTGTTATTCCAAAACAACTGTCACTTAAAGAAACGTCTGACATTTTTTTAGGACCGTTTTTAATTTTAGGTGAATAAAAAGTGTTTACTACAGTTTCTCATTCAATTTTTTATCGAAAATAGCAGTTTCAAACGGATCATTCCAATATGTATTGAAGAAACTTCATCAATATGAATAAAATATGAGTTAAATTTTCAGTGAAATTTTGATATCCACAATCACTTTTAATCAAATTAAATCCATCAATTTATTGCATTACATAATTTATAAGATATAACAAGCTCCTCGCGAGATTACTCACCGGTAAATCTCGCGACATGTTTTTATTTTATATAATTCAGCAATGTAATAAATTTACGGGTTTGATTCAATTTCGATTTCATTTTCTTTATTTTAGAGCATGTAAATGGGAGCTTGTTTTTGAACAGGGTTTTTCGCTATTTAGTGATTTTATATGTTTCAGTTACTGCTGGACATGTTCCTTAGTCTGTTTATTCAATTTTTGCGTCTTTGTTGCATAGTTGATCCCTACATTATTTGTTGGAGCATTTTAAAACTTGACCTGACCTGCCGAATCACCTCTTTGAACATGGTATTGTGCCCATTTTGCTCTCCGTTATTTTGGATGTTCTTTTCTTGAACCTTTCTGTTTAAAATCCATATCTTTCTCCTTATTTTTCGATTGTATTTTTCCAATGAGAGTAGCGGTCCTCCAAAAAAAATATTATTTGTAAAACAGTTTGAAGAGTTAATAAAATACTGGTGCAAGTTCATTTGTACTACATTTTTGTGTAAGTGTAAGTTTTCAGGTACTGTGTCAGAACACAGTACCTGACACAGACTAACAGAAAATAATATCCGGTTTTTGGAATTGAACAGTCGATCTTGCTCTTTCGCTGATACTTCTATCGAACCATCCGATTGTGTGAAGTTGAAGGTGAAGTTGCAACTATTATTTAAATTATGACTGGTTATATAATTGAAGCGTCTGTTGAAATGTTCCATTAAAATTCAATTTCATTGATCGTTTATTGTGTTTTGATATCTGTATGTTGATGAACGAAATTCGATATGATTATTACAACCTTTTGCTAAAGGTTATTTATTATTGTATTTTATTATAATTGATTTTCTGATTTCCGTCAATTATACAGATATGGGTATAATTTATAATAATTGTGTTATTCTTGATCAGTTACGCAATCTGTCCGAATATTCAACAATAATTCACTAAGTACAAAGCAACACCATCCAATAATCTTCTACTAATTATTCAAACAGCTGAAGAAGCCATTTCTAACGTCAGACATGATCTCTCTATAACCGATCGTTGAACTTGATCAAGACATCTCAATCCGGAATATTGCGTGGTTTGCCACCGGACTATCGCAGCTTAAACCAAACGCATGACCTCGACCTTGTCTCTATCGACCTCGACCTTGCCACTATCGACCTCACCCTTAACCTGCCATTTCTTCTTTCAGGTACCAACATGGCTTTCCACCAGCGAGTCGCAACCAAAGAGGATTACATCTACATCCCTCTCAAAGGCCCGCTCCCAAACTCCGCGCCCAATAACAACAACAACACGCCAAAAACCAATTCTGTTACGTCGAAACCCCCATTGCCGAAACAGCCACCGCCGCGCGTCGTCCACGCAAGCGTCAAGACGCCGGCGTCGTCGAGCGAGCAGCAGCGGCCTCATCGCCGTAGGACTATCGATTCTGCCGGCGGTGGCCAACTGCCCATGGAGCCCATGGGGCTGATCGAGACCGATTTAGACACGGAAGTTACCGTCATCACGAGCGGTGCCAATGTGAAAACGAGGAGCCTCCTGGATCTGGGGCCTCAGCCCCGATTAATGCTCGCCCCCAACGAGGAAGGCACTGACCATCCCGCCAGACCCCACAAGTCGATGGAGTTCCTCCTGGACAAGCAGAATCTCAAAGTAGTTGAGGTGAGTTGTTTGTTCGATACTTGCGCGAAACGAAGGACATATCGTGTCGTGATTTGTGTGAAACGTTGCACCCTGATTTTCATTTCCTTTTTGCGGATATAGTCCAGTCGACAGACTGTTTTAATATAATAGGTAGATACGGAAATTTCAAGTAATTTCAATTTGCTCCTCATTCAAGGGTAATTAGGTTTTCTCCAAACGTAATAGAAAGTCAATACTTTGACGGATAAATTCAAATGGTTCGAGTAATTCTCTATTTTTTTATTTGTTTACAGTAAATTTATATTCTTGAAAAATTATGATACAATGTTCATAAATGAATTTACTGATGGCACTGAATTTCTATATTGTTTCTTTGTTATCCTTTGTCAAATTTTCACAACAAAGGGTTCATTCAAATGGGTTTGGAGGAAAATAATACTAAATTTCTGTGTGAAGGTTTAGATTTGCGTTAACCAGAGCTTTCTCTGTTTGAAATAATATAACCATCAACACAAAATATATTTATTTCTTTTTGGGATTTTATCTTCCCAGAATCTGAAAAATAAATACATCTTAGTCAAACGAGAATCTGTTCAAAAAGAAAAGTTTTGTCTGTTAAATGGGATGAATTGAAACTATATTCTCCACTGTTCTTTACAAATGTATGCCATTTCAGAAAGCAGCCTCTGTTCGTTCTCAAAACCAAAAATCCTTAGCGAAAAACACTTCGATTGAAAATTTGTAGCTCTCTGACATACATATGAGATGTCCAAAAATTCAATTCCCTATTTCCTTCTTCAATGTCCCACCTTAATAATGGTAATCCATTTTTTTGTCTTTTTCGTGCAGTTTGGTGACAATTTTTGTTTCATTTCATTTCGTGATTGCCAGTTGATTTTAAAACCTGCTCCGCTATTCCCCATCCTGTTATTTGTTGTCCCTCAGAAGTCGAAACTTGTGCGAGCTAAGGACTAACAAGATCTTACCTTTTAACCGTGTTAGGAATCACACGTTAAGAGGTAAGACCTCGTTAGTCGTTAGCTCGTATAAGTTTCTCAACTTCTGAGAGTTGTCGTTCGTATGAGGGCCACAGCTGATTAACGGAAAAACAGATTTTAAACAGATTTTTTAAACGTGTGATTCCAACATGTCTTCTCTTTATATACACTCACAGACAAACATATTGCATATTTTATTTTAAGCCTCGATTTCATGTTTATTTCTATTTGTCTGAATCTTTATGCAGTTTTCATTACTAAATGGTATATGCTGAAGTATTTAACGTATATTAGGAGCTGGGTTTTGCGCTCGTATATGTCTTTTTAGGATGTCCCAAAAATGTTCTATGGGATTTGCGCCAGCACTGCTTGGTAGCCACTCAACTGCCTCAAGTCCAACAACAATTTCAAGATACTGGGTGACTGTTCTTGCACCATTTGCACGAACATTATCATGCATTAGCACGGAATTGTCGTAACCAATGAAGCTGCGTTTGTACCAGTCAGCATTCATTCTTAAATTCACGTCTATAAGCTCGGTATGACTGTCCCAACTAATGCCACCCCACAACATAATGGAATCACCACTAAAGCTTAAGTTATGTACAAAATTCTCCAGATCTTCTGTATACTCGACCACGTCCATCTGGTTACCATAACTGTATTCTTGTTTCATCTGTGAAAAGAATTTTCCCCACTGATGTTCATTCCAGCTGACATGGGCTATGGCAAATTGTAACCGTCTTGTACTCAGTAAATCATTTCTGAGATGCGGAGCTGTAAGTGTGCGATTTCGCTATTTTAAAAAATTGGGCATCTCTTGGCGTTGTACATCTTTTACGTCCTTGACCAGGCCGTCTTTTGCACCCCCCAGTCTCATTGTATCGCTTCACAATACGAGAAACAGTCGATTGATGGATATGCAATCAAATCTCCGCGCAATATCTCCTTATTTGCATCTCTCATTGACTCAAGTTAGAATGTTAACTACAGAATCAAGACATGAAGTATTCGAAATGTCATTCTGACAACAATAAACAAAACAATAAGCCAACTATACAATATTTGTAATTTGTACCATTATTTTACCTATTCAGCTATAATGACTATGTCCAAGCATTCTTTCATCTATACTGAATGGAAATTTACGTAAAATACTTTGGCCTTTGAAAATACTCATAATAAAATTGAATGTAACATTCTTTCGGATCTCATTTATCTTGGCTAAGTATTTCTTGGACCCGGTTGCTATAGTTACACTCGTGACTATTGTTGGTTGTTTCCTTGTAATCACAAGGTCTTCCGACCAGAGCCGCGTATCCGCAATCGGTTCCTGATGATGAAACCATTTGCTTTAGATTCCTTTTTGTAACCAAGTTATGCATATCTTTTGCACCTGACTGTACCGCACAAATTAAGAGCTTGTACAGTACATGCAGTTTAGGCTTCAAACTCTTGGAAACATTCTTGGATTGTTCGAACCCTATGAGAGCTGCCCTAATCGTTCAAAGTGTCGAAGTCTCTCAACTTAGTACATTCAGATATCTCTCAGAACCAGAAATATTGCATTCCGATACTTGGATAATTAGCGATAGGTAAGGTTGGTGGGTCTCTTTATATGAACTCCAAATTCCTGCATGGTTTCGTTCTTTCTGGGTTTGGTTCTGGTCTGGTCGTACTACATGTTCACTTGAATGTTCTGAAGGAAATCAATATTGCAGTTTCAAGACCATTGGCCGTTGCTTCAGCTTCAAACTGCGTCAATAAATTACCTAAAATAATGATCCATCGAAGGTATACAACTTCAGGTTGATAAGTGATGATAAGTGCTTGACTTATTCGATCGAACTACAGGAATTTTTCTTTCGTTTTCCGTTTTGCTTCTTGTTTTTTCTCATTTTGCTTCTCATTATAGTTTTTATTTAAATTTTTGGTGAACTATTTCTTGTATTGTTCACTTCTTGTTCCTTTAGATATTGCTTTTTTTTTCTTCAACATCGTAGTTGACAATAACTACATATTTACTGAGGACGTATCTCGTTATAGTTGATTACCCGGTATTCAAAAGTAATTTCAATTCATTAATTAACTTTCTAGAGGCCAGTTTGTTACTGTTATAAGGTAACAATTGTATCCTCCTGTGCAATCTGATTGTTCGTACAAAAATTATTATTTTTGTAACATTTTTTTTCTGATTGATTCGGCCGTTACTTGATGAAGATCCATAGTAATTTCAAAAACTACATCTCCCGATTTGATCTCCACAAACTTCATTTGAAAAATATATCACATGTTTCGCTAGCACCGTAGCTTTGTGCTATTGTGTTAGCGAAACATGTTGTGATATATTTTTCAAATAAAGTTTGTGGAGATCAAATCGCGAGGTGAATTTTTTGAAATGTTTGTAACATTCAGTTTAAAAACAAAGCCAAAATTTATTTTGTTTTATAGATCTTATTGAATTTGTGGTACTACACATTGGATACACCTGGTATTAATAGTTTAACAGCATTGAGTAGTTTGTGAGAGGTATATGCACTTACTTGCGAAAGTTCTCAATTTATTTACTGCCATCGCTAATTTTCTTTGATTTAATTGTATTTTCTATTGCATTATAAAACAGAATTGATATCACCTCAATGAATTATAACTGTTGTGAAATTTAAATCAGGATTAGTGAACCGTGAAAATGATATTTTTATAAGCAATAAATAAAATGTGAAAGTTATAGTTATCAAAAGTGCAATAAATTTGCAACCAGTAAGTTTTTCAACATGATATCCCAAGTGAACAACCTTTCCTAATGATGTTGATGCTGAAAAAAAGTAGATCGTTCATGGTTTTCGAGTGATTCAAATAATTCCGTTTTTTTGGAACAAGCTGGAGTTTCTANGAATAATTTTTTGGTAATGCTCGGACAAGTCGATTATTATTTTAAGTCGTTTTTTTTAATCATTCAGTATGTCCCAAACTTTGGATAGGAAGTTATCAATTATTTTTTCAGTATGCAATCATCATCGTTTAGTGTAAACCATATTTCATTCACAACAATAATATTTCTTCAATCTGTGCTAAAACTGTTGTTCATGAATAATAGAATATCCCTAACGGTACATGAACTCACTTTGAACCTATTGAATGACTTCTGGTCTACACTTACTTTAGTGGTATTTTTTTCGGCATTTCACATATCCCCCTGAAAAATTCCATGAGGGTAAGGTCTGGAGATATCAGCTTCAACATTAGGTAACAAAATAGCCAAATTTGAAACTGTTATTCTTCAAAAAATTCCAAATATCTCGCCTCATTCAGATTGTATTTGAAGAAGACCATCACAAGCAATCCCTGCTGAAAAATTGACTTTTTGAGGTTAATTAATGTGTACTCATCCATTGCGGATTCTCGTCTGACAAATAACGACAATTCTGTGTGTTCTGTGTAGTTAATTGCAGTCGAGTAGAGCCTCCATTTTCTCGAAACTGAAGTCTTTCTTCTGTTAGGATTATCTTCAGTTGTATCAAAGCAAATGAATCTAATATATAAAAATGGATGTTTATTGGTTGGTTGGTTGGTTGGTAAGTGATAAACTTCTACATCGCTCAACCGATCGTGATAAAACTTGCCATGTATAAGTAATTTTTCATAGAGAAGGTTTTTAGGCTATCAGTTTTTCTGTAACTCGCCACTAGATGACGCTGTAGAACAATTTTTTGAAAGCACTGTTCTATAACGCTGCGCACGCCTAAGTTCGTTGATTCTGCTTCTGTCAAAACATTGGAACAGTAGCGATACAGCAATATAGTACTAATTAGTACTACAACTACCAAATTCTGCGAGGGCGAAGCCGCGGGCAACAACTAGTAGCCTATAAGTATGAAATTTGTGCACTTTTAGAATCACTACTACTGAAGATTGCACATTTTATATTCAGTAGCTATTTGTGTGGCAGGCCTGGTTAGACTTTTTCAAGAACATATAGTGCATTGAGTTCTAGATTAAAGTTGACCTCCTCACTAAGCGCAGTTTG